TTGGTCCCGAAGCCCCCACACTGGGCTCCAAACACAGTTTGTGCCTTGGTTTCCTCCTGTGAACATGAGTTAACAGCAGTCCCACTTTCAGCTGTTTGAGCGATTCTCTTACTTGGCAATTTATACTTCACTGGCTCTGAGTTTAGCGTTAGTACGCATTTGACAGTAAAAAGGGCCAAATTCACATTACATAGGTCAGATGGGTAACCTGACCCCCAACTCAATTTGAATTAGAAGGAGTGTTATCGTAATCCGTCAATGGACTCCTCTCCAGGTGGGGGGAAACTGGGGGCAGCCCCACAGCCACAGCCCACCTCACCTGGTACTCCTCCTCCAAGCGCGACAGCAGCACGGCCTGCTCCACCGTCAGGCGCAGGTCAATCAGGCCCAAGGCCAGCACCATGGACTTGAGCTGGGCCACCACAAACTCAATCCCTGCAACACACCAGGACGCAGAGGTTCTACCCCACCAGGACCGCTGCTCCCAAACCTACTGCCTCTGAACAGCACTGTAGAACAGACTAGACGTGACTCAGCAGGTTTCCAAGGCTGTAAACATGTACAGAAGTGGACTGCCACATCTTCCTCCTGAGGAGCTGATGGTGAGTCTGACCCTTCGGTTGGCAGCCAAGCACCTTATCCACTGCACCACCAGGGCTCCTCCCAGACCCCAAGGAGTGGTTAAAGGGTGCTAAGTGGGGAAGAGAGATCATAGAAGCAGCTGCTATGCTGCCTGCGCTGTGCCTGTGCATCTTGGGGATGGTCCTCTGCTCTTACTGAGGTACGCATGACCTGCTCTTGGCAATCAGAGCATTCTATACCCCCAACCCAGGGACAGGTGCAGGGAAGGGCGTGTGACCCAAACCTGGCCAATGACACAGGGTCCCAAGACCAAGAACAAACTCTGCTTCCTGCTAGCAGGGCGTGAGCCTGGGGTAAAAGGGTTGATGTGAGAGCCTGTGTCTTGGTCCTCAGAGCCACCCTGGGAGCTCCCCCAGCTCAGGTTCCGGACACAAATGCCCATCACCCGTGCCCTCCCAGCCCTAGCAAGCCCCAAGAATACCTTGGAGGGCCCACATGTTGTAAGAGGCCAGATGGCTGGCAAGAATCTCCTGAGTCTTGGCTGGTACGCTGGGCCCCAGGATACTGGTGGAGACACCAATCTTCACACCATATCTGAAAGCAGAAAGTTGCAGCCTGTGCCTGTCTTGCTGTGATCTAGACGCTGCCTAGCTTTTGCCCCAAAACAAAGCCCAACACTGCGGAGCATGTATGTGTCCCTTCAAGGTGGCCAAGGAGCCAGTTTGGGGGCTCCCGGGAATGACTGCCACTGGCCAGTGGCATTCTTGCCTAATTTTGCATTCTCTAAGGGCAAACCCAGAGGACCAAGAACATGCCAAGTAGCTGGTGAGTTGAGCAAGCCGGGCACAGCTTGTGCGCATAGCTGCCAGAAACTCTGTGCCGTGTCCCAGCAGCTCCAGGAAATGCGTGCACACCTGCTTTTTAAATTTTTAAAAAGGTCTTTCACATGTGAGACTATAGAAGATTTCTTTTAAATATCACTTTCCTGCTAGTAACATTTGTATATGTCCTATATAACTCAGTCCTTTTGTTGATTCAACAAATGCTTCTGGCCTGTGACCTATGGGCTATGCACTGGCTCCAAGCGATGACAAATCTGTAAGAAGAATCATAACTCATAAAACACATGGGAAATACAATGGAGAAGAACGATTATTCTACTATAGGAAGTGCTGTGTGTTTCTTTAAAGGAGAGGGAGCTCAACTGCCCCCCAAAACAGAAACAAACCATCGCGCAGCTCTCTGAGCACCTGAATTTTACATTTAATTAGATCTCAAAATGACATCACACCTTCACGGTTCACACCCAGTATTGTGGCTGTTCTGTGTCCCCGGATGGGAGGAGCGGTTCATCACTGAGCTACTGAACCCTGGGGAAACGGCCTGGCCATCTGCTTCTGGAAGATCAGCCTCCAGTGGCCTACAGATCACAGGTCTACCAGGACCTGCATGAGGCTGCTACGAACTGGGTCAACTCAACTGTAACCAGTACCATGGGAGGGGCACCTCGCGGGGTCTCTCTAGGGTCTGGGGGAAGCCTCTAGCTGTGGCTGTCTTTTACTTGAACCCCCACAGTGCCAGGCATGTTGTGGTACTCAGTAAATATGGAGCAATGTAAGACATAGATCCGGGGACTCATTTTGGGAAACGTTCCACGTAAGCTCAAAACTACAATCGCAGAGATGATAACTGCCAGTGTGTAAGCACCCGCCTGAGCCAAGCAGGGTGCCAGCCCTTCACGGGCACCATTGTGTGCATGCTGCCAGCCCACGAGGAGGCGCACTAGCTCTGCCTTACAGATGGAGATCGATGCTCAGAGGCCATGGCACCCAGCAAATGGGTAGCTGAATGGGGGCTAAACCAATGTGGCTGCTCTTAAGCCGCCCACCCAGGGGCACCTTTACTCCTCCCCAATCTCACTGCTGATTTCAGATGTCGTCCATGAGATACGTAGAATCTCAGCACCTCACACCAGAATCAGAAGGGAGGGGGGTGGCCTCAGCCCTCCAGTGTACCCCTAGCAGGTGCCCAGTGCCCAGAACTGGGGACAGTCTAAGGAAAATGCCTGCAAGCATTTTACCCAAGGTGACCCTACCTGTCAAAGTTAGATACCTGAACCTAGAGGTCTCTGAACAGAGAGCCAACTAGCCAGGGTTTTCCCCCACCCCTGCCAACCAGTAAGGGCTTGTCTAGAGATGGAGTAAACAGCACATCTTACCTCGTCTCGGCCCACTCGATAATAGGATCCCATTCATTCTTCTGAAGTTCCACTAATGTTTCTGGCTCCTCCACCCTATAGCTGATTCAATGCAAAAGAACAATATATACAGTCCCTTCATTCAGCAACAAGGCCCAGAGCTAACACCAGCCCAGGCCACAGGCCAGCCTCTCACCCTTACCACTAAAGCAGCAGTTCGCAAAGGGTGCTCCTGGGAACAACAGCACCAGCAGTGCCTGTGAGCTGGCGAGAGGGAAGGCCGCACTCTGAAATGAGCCCCCCCCCCCCCCACCTGGGCCTACAGGGGACCCTGAGAGAAGCTCCAGTTTGAGAAAGACTGCCTGAGATGCTCTGCCCCGCTGGACCGGCAACGCTGGCCGTCCATGACATTCTACAGAACAGTCCTCCTGGGTCCACACCCACACTGGACAGGGATATTGTGCTGGGAGTTTGGCTGGGGCAGCTCTGACCTCCCCGCTCACCTCCTAAGCCTATTCCTGGCTAGTGGGGCCAAGGCTGCAGGGACACCTGCTCCAAGGGAACCCAACCCAGAGGCCAGGCTGTGACACTTATTCTGAGCTGGAGAAATGGAGTCAGAGGAGGGAGCTGAGGTGCAAGGCTTTGTGAGATGGGCTGCAGGTGGCCCCGTGGAAAGCCAGCGGCCTGTGTACCCAGAGGGCAGAAGAGGTGCCAATGCAGAAAAGTCAGAGATGACCCACTGAAGCCAACCTGTGGGCAGAGGTGTGTGCATGTGTGTGGGGGTGGGTGTTTGCCAACATCCTATTTTCAAATCCCATCCTAGTGACCCAAACATCCCTCATTTCCTATCAGGGCCCCTTTCTCATCTCCAAGGAACCCCTTTCCCGCAGTCAGATGGAGGCCATTTCTGCTCCCTCAAACAAATGACTTCTAACCTCAATGGACTTGGCTTTCTGACTAGCTGCTCCACATGGGCCCCACAGCACAGACTGACTGATTTTTGTTCAGCACTGACTTCAGATGTCATGCCAAGACACCCAGATCTTAGTGCCTCAGGCCCGCGTGGGCAGATCTAGCTGGTTCCTTGCATGGTTTCCCCTCGGCATCACTGACTAGACCACACACATACAGGGGAGAGTTCAGATCCAGAAGCCAGCTCCTGGTTGAACACATCTGGCCAGCTCTGTGTGACTAGGCTGAAGAATGATAAGAATGCCTACATGAGAATGAGCCCCGGGTCCGGTGTTGGCAGTGCCCCTTGGGTCCTGGAGCCTACAGTACTGCCTGGAGCCACCCCATGCCCAGAGGCAGAGGATGAGCTGCAGGAGGGCTTTGCCCTATGTCTTGACAGGGTTGTAGCTCATTCTAGGGACAGGCAGGGGAGCTCATGAACTGCCTCCTACCCTTGCCGCCCTGTGAGTTCCCGGAGACCAGACTGCTGCCCTTCCACAGCACCTGAAACAAAGTGACCCAGGGGGACCCGCTTAGTCTTTTACCAGATAGTGTCAGTGTCCAGAAATTTCAGAGCTGCCCGGATCAGCTGGTCCTTGCTTCGCTGGGTCGGGTTGTCCAAAGAAGTGTTGCACAAGGTGGTCTGGGTCAAAGGCAGAGAGGGCCCTGCCATCAGCCCCAGCACTGCCCTCCCGAGAGACTGCCCCAACCCGCAGGAGGGAGAGCAGCGGGAGGCTGGCCCCAGGGCTCCTCACAACCACCGCAGCAGCACGTCTGTTGGAAGCTGAGCACAGGGCACTCTGGATGAGGCGCTCACAGATTGATCGCCCCCACTAACAAAGGAGGCTGAGCTTTAAAATGGACTTCCCCAAGCAAAGCAGAGTGCTCATCACTGCCTAGCTCTGCTGTACTTCATGGGATCCTCACCACAACCCTCTGGAGGAGGTCCTGTCATTCTACCCATTGCAGACATGTGAAAACCGAGGCCCGGAGAAGCTGGGTAGGAGATATTGCAAAGAAGACAAGCACGCAGAACTGGCATGCAAACCTGCTGACAACGCGCTGCCCTGGTTCCCCACGTGTCACACAGCAGGGAAACAAATACCTACCCCAGGGCCGAGTGGCTTTTCCAGATCGGCCTTGCCAGCAATGGTGGCTTAACCACTGGTGTGTGGCCCTCGCCACCCTAATTTCACTGGGCCGACAAAGGAGCAGCACAGACCACCCAGGGTTGCCAAGGAAACCCATCCAGGCCTGTTTGTCAGGGGGGCACAGTGATGCTCAGGATGAGAACAGCCGGTCCCAGGTACTGGTTGTGCATCTGTGTCAGCACCTAATCCTGACCTCGTTCCATGTGACAGGCACCGCCAGCACCCCACGCTCCCAACCAGGGGCCTGGGCTGACAGGGGCAAGCACTTGCTCAAGGGGCCGCAGTCTGAACCCGAAGAGCTCAGCAGCCACAGTCCTGCGATGACACACCACAGCGAGCGATCCCCACCCAGTGCACGTCACTCTGTGCAGGGAGGAGAAGAGCCCTCCCCCATCCTGTGCCCTCCATCTGTTGTTCCACTCAGCAGTACTTCCTGAAAGCCTTCCTGCGAGGGGCTGGGCTCACAGGGGCACCTGGGGAAAGGTATGGCCCCTGGCTTGCGGTGCAGCGGAGGCGCCCAACCACAAACACATAACTAAGGCTGCACAACTGAGCAGCCGTCACAGACGAGAGAGCTTGAAGCTCTCTCAAGAGGTGGCCTTTGTAGCAAGGCCACGGGGAGAGAGTGTACTGTGGCCCTCATACGGCATCTGCTCAGCATGTGGAGAACCCTACATACTGTTGCTGAGCCCCCATGGCAGCTATGGGCATAGGGGAGTGGATGGGGCATAGGCTAGCACTGTGGACTTGTTACCAGGTGCATGGTGTAGAACTTGATGGTATCTTGCTGGGAGTCCCATTCGGTGGCCACTGCAGTGGCCAGGGCCTCACTGGGGACGATAAAGAGCTTGGCTTGGGGTGTTTTCAGTTTTCTGTTGTCCAGGTTTATTTCAAAGCCACCTGGAAAGAGCATGTGAAAACCTTTCAGGTACTGTTAGGTGAAACTGGGTGACCATCCAGCCATGTGAATTGGTACAAAGGCAACTCCAAGTATCCTCCGCCCGTCCCCCAACAAAGTATGCGACCAGGAAGGGAGGGCCCATCTCATCACAGAATGTTCTCAATCACTCAAAAAAGGAAAAGAAAGGGACCGCCAACATTTCAGACACTCACCTTCACCCTGGGTGATGCTGACATTCTGGTAAAATCGCTTCCTTTCTGTAAGAAAGATGTTTCCAAAAGGCAGTTTAAAATAATGCAGCAACAGCTTAGGAAGTGACAAATCCGGCTGAGGCCGGATTACTGCTGATGCCAATTTACTGGCTTGATTTTCCTATCACCATTCAAGGTCTGTCGTACTCCACACAATATCATCCAGAGCTCTGACTAAGGCTGGAAGTGGGCTGGCAGTGGAGGGGAGCACTCACTGGGGATCATGCCAGTCATTCCGCCCTCTATTTCCCGAGCCTCAGGAACAAGTCTGACCACATAGCAACACCAAGCTACAAAGAATATCTGACTCTACACATTTCCTGCCACTTTTAGTCTGAACTTCCTCCCGCCGCTCACAGTGAATGCTGCCCCAGTGTTAGAAGTCCAGGGACCCAACCGAGAGCCCTACGTCTAAGTGGGGATGAGTCAACGGTCAGCCTGTGTGTGCATGCGCACACGTGCAGCATGAAGGCAATAAGCAGAGATCCCACGAGCTTTCTCTAGTCCCTCTAATTAATTAACCTAATTAATCAACTTGCTTGTATATTCAACAGGAACGCCAAACATTTCCTTTAAGAAGGGGGAAAAAACCTGTGTCCCATGTTCTCTTTTGAAAATAAATGAACAAAATCCTTTATGAGACTATAAACATATTTTCCCTCTTTTATGCCAGAGGGATTAAAAACCCGAGCACTTCAGAAGGAATTATGCAGAGGGCCTCAACTAATAAACAAACAGGAACAGGTCACATTTTGGGAGCCATACACCATTACAGTCTCCAGTCCTTGTAATAAACACACAACAACTTCAAGTCACACATTCATTCACTGGCTACCAAGAGCTGCAGGATCCTTGACTCAGGTTATTTACTGAGGTAATGACGAGGTACTGGGAGGGAAGGGAGACTCATTAAATAGTTTGCTTTTAACAACTTGTAAAAATCAACCAAGCTAAGTTAGAATTGTATTAATTCAAATAAGTAACTGAATTGACCATTCACTTATACAATTTAAGTTCAGGAGTTCTTAGAAGGGTATATGGTCCTACTCCAAACATATTCCATTTGTTTGGCCAAATCCCCATTTTTATTCTATAAATCAAATTTGTTATGCCATAAACACAGGGGTATTGTATCCTGTCCCTTTGTGTCACTGTGATGTCTCATTGCTGCAGTAATGTTGGAATCTATGCCATCAGTACTGTAAATACCAACTGGGTTACCTGGTGGAACTTCCAGGGTATGACTGACTAGGAAGAAAAAAGAGGAGCCCACATCTGAAAACCTGATCAATAAAAGTAGAATACTATCTGAAACAGCACAATAAAATGAGCCCTTCAAGTTGGAAGACACTCGAAATATGACTAGGGAAAGTTGCCTCCTCCATGCAGAGTCAACCTTAATAACGTAATGAAGCAACGTTCTCTGGAACTTCGTTTGCTGCTGGGACACAACTCAAAATGAGAAGAAACATCTGCAAGGATCCATTAATAATGACATTGTAGGATGTATAAAGTATGAAAATCTAGGAAAATTGGAAGTCATAAAAATGAAACGAAACACATAAAGATTGAAATCCTAGGTTAATGGTGAGCTGGAGTAAACTGGTATTGATCATTTTGAATCAGACAATCATATGGTCTGCTGAATAAAAAATTGGGGGGGGGGAATGACATTGTGTTCATTATCAAAGAGAATTAGTCAACAGAAGTTCAGAAACAAGACTGCAGTATTTCATTCCATACCACTTCTTGCCATCACGTACAAATGGTCCCAGTGGGCAGAAGAGCTCCTAAAGGTAGCCTGATGCCTTCCTGATAGATGATCCCCATCTGTGCTGGGGTCAGATAGCCTCTGCAGAACAGGCCATTTTGTCTTAAACACAAAATACCTGTAGCTTTGCCTCTTTACGTGTATTTACTTTAAAAATTGCATTAGTTCACCTATCAGTGTTAATGAAGTCCTATATTGGGAGGCTTTTTCTATAATTAAAGTATTATCATTTAAAAAAAACAAAGCAAGATCTATTCTGAAAGCACAAAATCAACATACAAAAATGAGTCAGACAACTATGAGATACCACCTAACACCCTCAAAGATAGCCCAATTAAAAAAATCAGAAAGTAACAAATGTTGGAGGGGCTGTGGGGAGATAAGAACTCTCATCCACTGCTGGTGGACCTGTAGGTATGTACAGCCACTATGGAAATCGATTTGGCGATATCTAAAACAGACGGAGATTAAGCTACCATATATATGACCCAGCAAGAAACAAACCACGGCCAGACAGCTGTGCTCCAATGTTCATCGAGGCAGAGTTCACAATTGCAA